GATACTTAGTTTATTTTGTCATTCTGATCGGATTTTCTCTACTGTTCCGTTTTAATTTTAATTTTAAATTGTTTTGCATTATATGGCCGTTTGCTGTTTTATGGGTGCTTCCCATTTGCCTTTCACTTATATATATATATATATATATATATATATGTTATTGTTTGTATTTTACTATATTTTATATATTGTATGTCTAAGACATCCTGTAATGGGAGATTCAGCTGTTGGATGTTAAATTAAAATAAAATAAATATATCTATGTAGGTACATCATTATGATGAAATAAAAGTGGGACGATACAACAAATGATAAAACAAAAATGTTGACTTTACCAAAAGAATTAGAAATGACAATTGTAATCACTTATAATTTTTTAATGAAGTAGTTTACCAGTAATACTAGGACAGATGAGGACTAGAATGATCTTTTTAGTGTGTCAATATATAGTCATGATGTGCCTATAATATGGTCATGTGATATCATCATGACCATATTTAGGCTTGTCACATGCCTTTGTAGTCTAGACAAAGCTTTAGTAATACTGTACTGATACATACCTTCTAAACATGCCCCTTCTACTTCTCCTTTGCTAATTGAAAAAAAAAAAGCAAAACAATGAGTTACTCATCTATTCGTGAGGTATTTGGACAGGGCTCAAGCCATAAATTTAAGCCCTGCAATTACTGTACTGTATTGTAATGTACCTCAATACAAACCAAAGGCATGGAGAGAGTGTGTTTTACAATGAACTAGAATTGAATGTTTATATAACAAAAGAATAACCTTGAACATGTGCATGGAGAATTGACATTAGTTTGTAAATACAGTAGAACCCCTCATTTACGAATTCCCAATTTTACGCCCTCATTTACGAATTCCCGATTTTACGAACGTAAAATCATGTCATTGTTTTCATAAATTAAGTTTCTATTTCATGAACAAAACACACACCCGTGTCAAGAATTAATTGTTAGGCGCGGGCTGCAGTTTATTCACTTGGTTTTAGACGGTTTGCTGTACACATCAGCGATCTCTACTACAATACGAAACGCAGATAGTGCGTTGAATACACCAACACTCAACTTGTCGGCATATTGATAGGCGGATGATTTAATCATCTCTAAATACGCCACCCTCATATCGTAATTTAACGAACCCCCTAATATAAATGGACTTTATTTATCAAATCAAAATATCGAAGATTGTAATACTGCAAAAATATAGGGCCGCGAAAGAAAGGGCTTTACAGTAATCAGTTTTTAGTACACCATGTAGTATGTGGCAATGACAAGCCAATCAAGTCACTCCTCGTAAAAAAAAAAATTGATTTTTAGTTTGGTATTGGTATTGGTACGGTCATTTATAATGCGCCTCTTCCTTGCAGTTATAAAGCGCAGTTCTTTTCCCTGGTTATTGGGTCCACATGCTAAGTGTTGCTGCTGGTAATCAGCGCAGGAGCAGGTAACCCCACCAGGTTCCCATTTATACTCCTGGGTGAAGAGAAGCAAAGTAGATAAAGTGCCTTGCCCAAGGACACGAGCGAAATGCACAGCGAGGGATTGAAACCCCAACCTCGAGGTTGGGAAACCAAACAGTTCCCGCTACGCCAAACTGCTTCCTTTTTTAGATATTAATACAGGATTAAACAGTACAATGAGAGCTTCAAAATCTGAATTTTTTTTGGATCATACAGTTGTTTAAAGAACAGTATTCGAGAAATCTCCCTTCAAAGTTTACAATTTCAGACATTTCTCGGGCAGACATTCATCAAATCGTTAAAAACAATGCTGTTTTAACTTAACAACATACGGTAGTATGATGAATAGGTATAAAGGTTAATAGTTTAGTGCAATAAAAATATTTTTTTTAAATGTTGATATTCCACCATGTTTTGACCAATATCCCCAAAAGGTGGTTCATCTCTGACGTAATAAATGCTGTTAGGTAAAACTAAGGCACTTTTTGAAATTGTCTTTAAAAGGCCTAAAACACAGGTGGGCAAGGTACGGCCCACGAAAATGAATGAAAAACCCTATGTGTGCGGCCCGGCAAACATATTTGACTAGAAAACACCATGTGTTTTACGGCCCGACACCGATCATCTGTAAAAAGTAATGGCAAAATTGAGAATAAAGTGAGTAAACTGTATGAAAACAGTGCACTGTAACATTAAGCTTTTCATATGTCATATTTTGCAAAATAGAGAAATAAAATTTTAATGAGGGATAAACAAGATACAAGTGCCTAAGACAAAAAGTAATTGAGAACGCTTTTAGGACCTTCCATTTCCTGCAAATAATGGGATGTGGAAATGTGAACACTTTAGCAACTAAAGATCTATCTTGACAACCAAATTTTGTTTCAAAAAACTGTTGTTATGCCATTATACTGTAGTCATGATGTGCATTATACTATATATGGTCATAATGTGATGTCATCATGACCATATTTAGGCGTGTCAAATGTTTTTTTTCAAATTTAATTTGATAGTCTGGACAGGTCTTTAATATTCAAAGTTATATAAGAAAAAATAGTTTAAAATTTCAAATTTGTTCGCAGTGGTTTGTGTGGAAATTCTGAAATAGCCTTGGTAATTGGCAAGTAGACTCACTGTAGCTTGTTAAATAAAGAACTTAGTACAAACAGTAGTCTTTACTTACTTCCATGTTTAAGAAGATAGCAAAGTAAAAGATGATGTTAAGAAGTTGTTGTTTCCAGGAATCAAGTCATGTCCTGTGGAATAAAAAATAAATACCAATTACATGTAAAGCACAAAGTAGTGCCAGACTGTAAAATAACGATGTATGGAAATAGGCTATATTTCGCACAAAAATTAGGCCTAGAATTTCATCAACACTCGCTTAGGCAAATAAGGACCAATTTCTATGCAAATTTTTGCAGATCATTAGGCCTCGGTCTATAGTATCCTTCAATATACTGATACACAAGCAATGCATTACTGTATACAGATACAGATATATTTTATTATCATTGTCAGACATACTGTAGAAATTGTTTTTGCTCATAATACAACATCACAAATTAAACAAAAATTAATGAACTACAGTACCGTATGTATCCCATGGTAGGGTCGCTCATATTCTACTGTATAGGACCGCAGCCTGCATACTCTATTTACAATTTAAAGAGTATTATTTAGGACCCTACAGGTAATGGCAAATGGGTAGAAACTATTTCTATATCTTGTTTTGTTGGCACTCAAACTCCTGCAACGGCAACCTTCTCACTGTTTTAAAGAGACAATTTGTGGGATGGAAAATATCACTGCAGGCAGACTTAGCTGTTTTGACTAGCCTGAATTTGTGGGATGGAAAATATCACTGCAGGCAGACTTAGCTGTTTTGACTAGCCTATTCTCATAGATTACCCTCCAAACAAGTTTGAGTGACACCAATAATGCATGAATGAAGCTGACCTGCACGTAACAATTCAGTTTAGGTCCAAAATAATGCAGAATCTAATAGGACTGGCATGAAAATTTTAAGTTATACAGATTTCGACTTGCACATATTTGAGAAAAATTATTAACGTAGAATAATACTATTTATAGTCAATGCCCAGAAATCCGAATTTCACACAAAAGCATTTTTTAGTCCAAAAATCATTCCCATTCTTTCTAAATAATAAAATACTTTCTGAAAACCGGAACTCCCTAATGCGAATCTCAGATGATTTGTCCAATTTAAAACGATAAAAATTTACTGCAAAAAACCAGAAGATCAGTTAAAATAGACATTGTTAAACGACAAGGATACCAGACGCGTTGTAAAACGAGATGCTTCTCTGTAGTCGCATTGTCATGGAGATTATCTGTTGATTAAAGTCAGGCTCCGGAGGAAAAAAAAATTTTGATACATTGTAGAACTGATTTTCTAAGACAGAAAAAAATTGTTTGACGAAAAACAGGGGAACAGTGAATGAGATACAGATTTTTTACTATTTAAAAATTGGGGGGAAAAGAGGCGTAACTGCCCATTTTTACACCTTATTCCGCCAGTATTTAAATATTAAAAAATCTGTATCTCATTCACCGTTCCCAAGTTTTTCATCAAACAACTTTTTTCTGTCTTAGAAAAATCAGTTATACAACATATCAAAAATTGTTTTTCCTCCGGAGCCTGACTTTAAAATTTACATGCCAGTAAACGTTTTGCTGGTTAATGATAAAGTGAAATTTACGCCTTCCAGTGTTTTATTAAATATATATTCCTACTTTAATCCTTAAAAATTGTATAGAATCAATCTGAAAAGAAGACAGAATTTAAAGCAAAACTGGTGACTCTTTTCAGTAGACGTTTACAGTTAACCTCATTCTTTAAACTCAAGACACTTCTCAAAAGCATGTTGCTTATTTAATTACTGAGGAAATTTGTAGAGAATAAAATTTAAATTTATTTAGATCCGACTGTAAAACACAACCATCAGGGTTTCTTATTTGTTGTTCTTTTTGTTTTATTAAATAGTTAGTAGATATTGTTTGCATTATCTAAATCATGTTTTACTTTGAATATCAATGCACCAGCAAACAACCCAAGGGTAATATTTGGCTTTAGCAAAATCCCCACCCTCCCTCTCGAAACCATTTTTAATACACCTTTGTGTAGGCTGTTGTTGAATTCAATATAAGGTATCACATTCACAAAATTGTTATTACAGTAGTATGCCAATAAATAAATATTTTTGTACAATAGAACTATTTCTTTTATATAATATTCAGAATACTTCATTGATTTGCATAGTCTCAAAATTCTTGTTCTATATATAAGGCTATGGAACATGTTTCAAATAAATTATACATCTGAGAACATTATCTATGTTCAACATGAATATTCAAAACATTGAATAAATTATGCAAATGTATATTTGCAATTTACTGTTTGCAAATAAACAAAACTTTTAATGCAGAATATTCAATATATTTTTTATATAAGAACTGTGTGCATGTTGACAATTATTAAGCGGTATATTATAACACAACACCAAATTTAACTTTTATTTATTAATAATGAGGGCGGCCATCTTTGTTGAATTAAGAAAAAGCACTTACCCCCTCTGTTAATACAATCAAACTCATATATTTTCTTTAATCTGCATTAATGTTCAACTTTTTCAAACATTATATACATCATTTAATGTTTAAATATTCAATACACATACGAAATTTAAATATCAACATGTTGTTTTTTTTGGAAAGTAAGAATAAGTAAAACTACAGGGGGAGTAGTTTCGTTAAAAAGAACTGCACTACTTTAGACAATGAATACAACATATCCTAGGCTAGGCCAAGCTGTTAAACTTCAATCAATGTAAATAGAGAGGAAGCCAGAGACAAACATGAATTACAAGAAACGAGGTCGTTTTTACTGAAACTTCCTTAAATTCAAATATGTTCTGATTTCCCCTAGCTTCTCGAATTCGTGAGCATCCGAACGGCAACAGTGAGGTAGAATGAATGACATTCGTCGTGCACGCAAACAAGAAATGCAACATTTCCCGGTGGCACACACACACAGGAGGCCTACAGCTGCTGACGGCGCGCGAATGACAACTATCAAAAGAGTTTACAATAAAACCATATAAACAGAAATTATATACTTCAGATCTTACCGCGTGGTTTCGTAACTGTGATTTTCAAGACATTGACTTCAATTAACTCCTAAATAAAACTGATAATCAACTTGTCGAAGATTCTGAGTTCCATACACAGAGCAACATGCGCACAGAAAGTGAAGAAGAGCATCGGCTCGTCGATTATCATCGAAATAGCGCCCCCATTGTTTATCGATTACTGTAATTATTATTTTGAAGGTTGGTAAGCTGCATCATCATGCAGTCCCCTGGTTGCAGCCCTTCTATTCGGGACGGGACCAAAGTCCCCTTCTTCAGTGGAGGTTGTGAGGGGCCCTGGTTCAAGAGTACATTCGGGGCCCTTGACGCAATCTGACTGCATGTCAACTAAGAATTGTACCACCGATAGGTTAGAGGAGCAGTGGTCTCTCCGATTTTAGTAATACTATTTTGACAATAAATCGAATTTTATTTTTTAATTTGTAATTTTTTTTAGTGGTATATATGCGAAAGTCCAAGATCAAATTATTACATACCTCAATGAATATGACCTTATAATGTTAACCCGCTAACCTGTAAAAGAACAATGAAAAACAAGTAAAGATGATGCTACCTGATAGTTGTTGAAACGACACAGGTTTTAACGAAAAAGCGTATCAGCCTGAGTACAGTACTATACATCCATCCCGACATTATTACCGGTATCATTAATAATGTCTGAATTACAGTACCCTACCATACACGACTCGAGTGTGCGTGCTTTTTTATAATTTTAGAAGTAGGCCTATGAGAAATATTTTCGGCACACGAAGTAGGTAAAGTAAAAGTAAATGTATATCAAAGGCAATTAAGTTATATTTTCCATGGTACAATACAGATCGGATCTCTATAACAGCCGCAAATCGCTTTTTAGTATTATAAGAGTGTCATTTCCGGCTACCTAGAGGCACTATTTCCATTTTCGCACCTCAGCCCCAACCATCGTGAGGTTGAGGCCGGGTGTGGTCTCATAAACCCCACTCCACCCCCCACCTCCAACATTTCGAAACAGATCTGCGCCCTTGCACCAACCGCTGAGGCTACGAAGAAACGATGATTCATATTAGGCCCTATGTATAATTATATTATTACAGCAATGCTCAGAGTATAGGTGTATTGCCCTACCTGACGTGGAAATGTACAAGTACGTGTATAAACAACTGCGAATAGTTCTCTGGTGGGATTCGAACCCACGATCTCCAGATCACTAGCCTGGCATCATACCTCTAGACCACCGAGCTTGCGCCTGATGGCCAGGGTTGATGGCCAAGTCCAAATAAGCAGCGGATACTGCAATGTTGATCGTAATTGTTATCGTTATTCTGTTATTCCTGATGATGACATAATTAATGTCGAAATATTGAATCCCAACACGATGGCGTGTATTTCAATACAGTACTTGTGTAATCATTCTTCCGACGCAGTGAGTGCCAGAATTAATAATAATAATTCAGGGGCGGATCCAGCAGTGGGCGAATGGGCGCTCGCCCCCCCCCCCCGGCAGCGGTGGCCGTCACGCCCACTTTCGAAAATATAAAAAGTAAAACCCAATTATGACCTTATTTTATCCTAAGTTTATAATAAGAATGATAACGATGATAATAATAATTAAACTAAATAATAATAGGCTGTCTTTACATTGTAGTACAGGAAAATCACCAACAGAAATTATTCACATTTTCTGCTCAATTCACATCCATTCAAGATCGTTAAAGAAAAAAGGATTTGCTATTAGGCAACCAAGAAAAATTAACCTACCAAATATTTTATTCGATGACGATTGTTCGTGCAAACATAAACTCATTGTGTTAATCTCCGAAACTCCGATCGGGGACAGTAGTTCACAGTAATATGATTTATCTTGTGATTATATTAGTCTGTGCAAAAAATTTTAAAAAAAGTTATTACAGAATGTTATAAAATTTATTTGCCTTTATTAAATTGCCTTTCAATAATATTTACCGTATATCCTACTCCCATGTAAGGCAACCCAAGTAGGCCTATAAGACGACCCCTGAGCTTGAGAAGGTTTTTGGACGAGTTATCTGCTATAAGCGAAATAGGCAAAGCTTCCAGGAGGCGCCTCCTGGAACCCCCACAGGGGCCCTTAGCGGCCCCGTCCCCCAGCATATGGGAGGGGGAACACCTCCCAGAACCCTCCTCCCTCGGTTCTCGATGGGCCGCTTCGCTCCCACCCCGGCTCAGAATTCTTGTATCCGCCCTTGTAATCCACGAAATCGATGCCAATGAAACAGAAAGCCTTCATACCAATTTGCGCTTGTTTTTTTTTTGTTTTTTTTAATTTCATGCAGGCCTTATCTAAAATATGAAATGACTGCAAATTATTGAATCGTTCTGTCCCAAAGTGCATTGTCCAAAAGTTCATTGGGCTAAATATAACTTTTTGGGAAAGTACTTATGATGTAAAATAGTTAGCGACTTCTTTATGCTGCTGGATTGACTTGACGTTTTCATTGGTAACGATTGGAATATGGTAACGATTGAAAGTAATAGCTAGTAGGGCTAACTATAATGTCATTTCTATACCACGCAAATGTAATTAACTTAATATTTAAAAACAATCCGAGATGTAGGCCTACATTTTATAAAAGTCCTGGCAATAGCCTCCTCAATTTGAAAAAGAAAAAATGTCATCTGTAAATCATTAAAAACTAATAATGTTTTCACTATCTGTGACTTACAGGAAGTTGATAGCCTTGTATTCTTATTGAACGAGCAATTCAAAGTATTTATTTTCCTATTTCTTGAGGTTTACTTCCTCAACTTTTTTGGGTAGGTACATTAGGATGACGCAATGAACATTCCATTACACATGAGGTAAAAAATAGGATTTTCTGTCATGGCTGTCTCTTATACACATCTGAACTAGGCCTGGTCTCTTCTCAGCGGGTAATATTTGAGACCTTTATTATAGCCACAACGACTTTGGCTATAACTTAAACTCTCCGTTTGCATTGATGATTTCCAGGTTGCCTAGTAAGTCATTTCTCAATCAAACGACAGTTTTTTTTATGAGTAAACTGCAATTTGACTAAGGTTGTTTTTTGGAAAAAAAAAAAAGATTTTTGAATATGCCTAACTATGCATCTATGCTTACCCAGCAGAGGTATAGTGCATTAAGATAGCAAGAATTATTTTTAAGGTTAGGGTAAAGCCAAGTTACTGTACAGTATATGTAAATTTGGAGGAAGTAGTACAGATATTATTATTAAGTTGACCAATCAGTGCGTTGGGATTTGTATCACTTTGATGTAAGCATAGCACAGCCTTTGAATACGATCCTGGAAGGGCCACACCCCTCTCAGTCTTAGACTTATCTTTGGTTCGCTCCTGGAAATGCAACACTGATGCCATTAGCATCCACTAACCTTTAAAAAAAAAAAAAAAAAAAAAAAAAAAATTATGGCCAGTTTAATAATGCTCTGTCTGACCGGGTGGGGGAGGTGGGGCTTAATTGTTCTCAGTGAGGACATAGGATTTTAGTTTTATAGTTTTTGATCTTTTACAGTTGCGGAGAATGGTAATATCAAGATGAATATAGTATGCCTGCAAATATCAGCTATTATTACTCTGAGTGTATCATTAGTTACGGTAAGTTTCGTAATGATTTGTTTTTACGTTCTGACAACTTTCAAAGGTTGGTCCAAGCAGAAAAAAAAAAAATGATTTTTGCACATCTAGATGGCCATAAAGGGCACCCTTAGACTTAAATTTTGATATAATTTTCTTTTATTTTTTCTCCATTTTGTTTTTAATCCACTCTTATGTGCACATTTATAGCATTTTGAACATGGCGCACTCAATAATAATATTAATAATTTTATTTTAATTATAAAAATGTATTATTTCAGTATAATATTGGTCAGCTGGCTGCCACCCATGTAAATGGATAGATTGAAATTGAAGTATGAAACATATTCATCTGTAAATAATTGTTAACAATACTTTGGTGTCATGCCAACCAACAGAACTTTCATTTTTAAAAGCATACCTTGCAAGCTACCAAGAAAATACCAATTGTTATGTTAATATAGAACCAGGATGTGTCCTAAATTGTTAGTATAGAAACTGTTGTTAACATTCAACTGATTGAAATGCTAAAGGTAATGAGAATTAATATTGTACTTTACTGTCATTTCTTTTTGAATTTACATTTAGTAAATAATTTTTTTTATAATTGTACATTGCATGAAATTTAAAGTGGTCAGACCTATAAACATTTCATTTTGCTAATCCAACCACTGGTTTTTATAGGAGGTGCACAGGTGCTAAGTTTTGGGGGGAGGGGGGTGGTGGTAGGTGCACACCCCAAAAAATATTTATGTCACCCCCCCCCCAAAAAAAAATCCCGCTCAAGTATTTAAAAATCACCCCCTTACCTAATGATCGAGAGGATTTAGTAGTCTTTAGCAACTTTAATCTGTAACTAGAATCCATAAGATAAAATAGTCTTTAAATATCTCTGTTTAGGGGGAAATTATGTAAGGATAGTAATTTAGGAAAGGTTTTTTTTATTCCAAAGTATTTTTAGAACGGATGTACAGGTACTGTATGCTGTTATTGATTCTTAAATACCATAAATAAAAAAAGGTAGCTAGATGCATATTCATAGTGAATTGTAGCTTGGTTGTTAAAATTACTATAATGTGACCGGCTCTGGCATAACCCGCCGTTTGTCGCAAATTTTAATCTCACACAAGCACCGAAAATGCTCGAGAATCTAAATTTTGAACATTTTCAGGTTTCTACATTTTGTATAAGAAGATTTAAAAAAATTTCTGAAAAATATCAATAAATCTAACTGAAAAGTATATTCAAAACATTTTTTTTTTGAAATTATAAAAATCTTTGATGATAAACTATTGTTGATTTTGGAATATTTGGAAACTGTTTTTTTTTAAAACTTACATAGTGATTTAGAATGGATTACTTTATGCTGTTACTGACTTTCATAAACTATTTCTTGGTAGAGCCACACATCAAGTTCTGTGCTCGTCTAATATAACCGTTTAATTAGAAAAACACACTCCCTGTCCCACTAACATTTGGTATTCAATATGGAACACTGTATACGCAAAACCTCAGCTTTTGATGTATATCAAACTAATTTATTGGGAAATATTGATAACTGTAGTTTGTAAAAAACTACACTAAGATCACTATATACAGTATTTTCAGTAAAGTTTAAGTTTGGTCTGCCAAAACCGTGGTATTTGGTGTCTATTTGTTTTATAATTTGATGTAAAGCAAGGACGTAGTGGTACTGTGCAATATACACTGTATAAAAATATACATTATTATTATTTATAGAATCCCTATAATTAAAGACCAGCACTCAACAGGGGGTCACAAGTGGAAAGAATCTACATCTGGGAGATCAATTTAAATGAGTTTTCTTAAAATATCTAAATATATAATTTTGCTGTGCATAACCTTTATGATTGCACTGACTTGTGGAGCTCTTAATAAATCATTCCCTGGTAACCAGGCCAAAACCCTGTCTTCATTAACTATTACTTACATTGCCTCTAAAATTATTGTTATTCAATATACACAAACCCTGTACACAAAACAGTGCATTGGCAAGTATTTCATTGTGCAAGTCGTATATTTATTATAGAAAAAAACTTGCATTTAACCTCATTATTCAATTTACACAAACTTATTTATAAACAAACCATTGGCTAATAGTTTTTTTATGTATAAGTCAAAATTCAATTTATTATGGGAAAAAAAATTACATAACATCAATATTTATTTCATAGTAGTCTTTAATTGGAGGGAAAATTTTCAGTAGGGTCCACCATGGTCTTTGGTTTCTAAAATAGAGGGAACCTTTAATTGGAAAGAACAGCTAATGATAAAAGATAGGCATTCAACCGGGCCTTAGAAATGTGGTCTTTAATTGGAGGGAGACCTGGTATATATAATATTGTTTAACTATTTTTATTGCACTGAGAGGATCCCCCATTTGTGTTGGGCCTATGGGCCATGGTTTTCTCTAAACATTGTATCAGTTTTAAATATTAATAAATAACTAAACAGTTGGACCCCTGTTAGCTAACTTCCAGAGCCAACACTGTATTGACATTACAAAGGGATGATGTCATTATGTCATAATTAGCTGTTCAAACACTCAGACTTGCAAAAGGTACTGTGCATCCTGTTACTATTTGTGCATTAACAATACAGTTTTGTCCCGGTGAAGCTACCTATAGCAGGTACATGCCCAAATTTGGAAGCATTATTGACTTGTTAGCATAACCCTTTAGAAATTATAACAAATATTTAGGTGCCTCATATTTCAATTTAATTCTAGTCCATCTGAGGTGCGATCTCAAGGGTGTATTCGGTACAATCGCATCCCACCCAGCACCCCCCAATAATAAATAAACCTGTATTTATATAGAGATAATGGATCCAATCTATCTAGTCAATTTACACTAACCCACCTAGTATTTCTGAGTCTAGAAATAACATGAGGGTTTTTTATTTATATTGTTTGTTGTATATATTGAAGTTATATAATTTTATTTAAATATGTGGTGGGGGGAGGAGGGATGTCCCCAACAAAAGTCATGATGTGATGTCATCATGATCATATATCCTAGAGAAGCGACTGGCATTCAGTAGGGGGAGTAGTATTTTAACCAACTTAGTGGAACTAACTTGCTGTCATGGTGGGTGTTAGGTGCCTCTACATCCCACAGCCAACTGTATGCCAATGATAAGATTTTAAAACTGATAATCGGCCTACTATTCTTCTTTCAATAGTTTTTTATGTAAATTATTATTAAAACATTATTTAATAATACTGTAGAATCCCTATTTAACGACCAGCACTCAACATGGGTAACAAAGTGGGAAGAACCATCTGGGAGATCTATTATTATATGATTTTTCAAGATGTATCTAAATATATTTTGCTGTGCATGGTTATAAACTTAATGATGGGACTAACTTCTGGGACTCTATAGATCATTTCATGGTAAAAAGGACTAAAACTTGTCTTCCCATTATTTATTACTTCCCACTAACATTATTGTTATTCAATATACACAAATTCTGTACACAAAACAGTGCATTGGCTATTTCCATGTGTGTCATATATATATTGCTCAATTTATTATAGAAAAATTCCTAGAGCTACCACTGGGATCCAGTAGTATTTTAACCCACTTTAGGTAGAACTAATTTGCTGTCATGGTGGTAGTCGGAGGGTGCCCTCTACCCCGCAGCCTACTGTGTGCTCATGGTGAAATTTTAAAACTGATAATTTTCCTACTATACTTCTTTTAGGTTGTAAGTTTACCTGTAGGCAGTGTTAGCAAAAGCAATTGTAATTCAGCTGATGTGTTTTGGGACAAAGATGCCAGAGCCTGTAAAAAATGCATAAAATGCCCCAAAGGTTATAGAAGAGATGTAAGTATAGTAAACCAGAGCACTGTAACTTACTGATTTCTTGATTGAACTGAATTCAATTTGTTTGATTTCTCTCTACTGTATATACAATACATAAATTACGTAGTAAGAAACAAGTTCATTTAAAACAAATAAAAACACTATGTAAGATACTTTACAATAAGAGAAAAAATCTGGGTAAACACATTTGAGAATTAAGCCTTAGAAATGTGATATAATTATATCATTATTATTGTTAATGTTTATTGTTATGTTACTAAAACCTACCTTAAGGGAAACTTAGACAATGGAGAAATTAGAGAACAATTGAAAAATGACATTAAGGGGAAAATAAAAAGATGTTAATGGGAAAATAACACAAAAGATATTCTCCTAAGTCCGAGTTAGCGCATGTTATTATTATTATTATTATTATTATTATTAAAAGGCCATAATGTAATAATAATAATAATAATGATATTATTATATTATGGCCCTTTATATTATTTATTAATATATAGCTCTCTCCACGCTATCAAATTTTATGTGACAAATAACTGTGATGCCCATATTTGGGTGTAATGACATTGTCATGGCCATATATGGCCATGTCACATAAAAGTTGATTTATTGATCAATTTAATTCATCCTAATGATGGTGATTTTTACCGAACTAAAATTATTGTTATTTGGGTGAAGGTAGAGGGTGAGGGTAGAGGTAAAGGTAGGAGAATAACCCATTGCTTATTGGTGTGTTTAATAACTCCATGTTCACATCATTCCAATCAGGCTGATGAACCATAGCACCGGGTTAACTCCTAATTGTCTCCCAATGGGCACTTTAAAGGGCCCACAAGCCAGATGTATACACTAGATCTCTGGTTTAAAGTCCTTCCGATAGCACTTGGTTCCACCAACTGAACCCTGGGGGAGGAGCAGCTCAAACCAGCAACCTATCATTAGATCTTTATCAAGGCATTAAAGTTGCAGTCTATAGTCATTAGTAATTGAAGCAAAGCCGTGATTCAACCAGCTATTCTCCTCACCTCAGTCGGTCTATTTTTAAACTCCTCGTACCCTCCATTGAAGATCCTGGATATGTCCCTGATACAGTCATATACAAAGTACTGAACTGTCTAACCTGGGTGGTGACAATGATAGGCAGGGTTTATTTTATTTTTTGTGGCTCTCTAGATCGAATGTGGTCATGGGATCGGTGGAATTGTTCAATGTATACCATGCCTTTCTGGCTACTACCAAGATAAACAGGAGTTTGATCGAACTCACTGTAGCCGTTGTGCCACCTGTGCTGACGCCAAAATGAAAGAGGAAAATGAATGTACAAGAACATCAGATGCAAAATGTGGAGATTGCTTACAAGGGTAAGTAATCACATTCCAAATTTTCGCCCCTTCCCCCCACCCCAGACCAAAACCAGCCATTAACCTGCACTAAATAAACTCCTAAATAAATGTTCTGTGTCAAATGTGTCATAAAAATCCTCCTTCCCCAATGGGCCTGATTCTACTTAAAAGAAAAAATCGATTAAAAATTGCTTTTTCGAAAAGTTGCTTTCTTTCTCACATTAGAAACGGGAGCAGTTTGAAAAAAGCGATTAAAAAAGGGCGATTAAAAACATGCAATACTTGTACGGTAAGTGACCGATTTTGGCTGTGCACCTTTTAGCTGCAACACTCATTTGGTCGCTCGTTTGTTGTGCCGATGAGTACAGCCGAAAACATTCACCTTCTCGTCGCACACTGTGTCATACTCTTCGTTATCATGACTGACAGTGAAGTATATTGCCTTGTTGGTGTGGATAAAAAAAAATGGTGAGGTAATTTCCATCACGAAAACCGATCTTCCTAAAACCAAAAATGCAGTTGCAATGCGGGCAGGTTGTCTGGCACTCATTAAAAAAGCTGTTAAAAGAAATTAATTATTTTGTGTTTATCAGTAGAAACACGCTCAATGTTACATGCTTTTTAAATCTATTTATCGTTAATGGATGTAGACTTTTGTATCATTTTATTTGACAAAAAACATATGACATTAAATATGGTCATGATGACAGTACATCATGGTGTTTAAAAATGTTTACCCATAATTTTTATGGCAAAAAAGGTTAGAAACACATTCCAGTCACAGTGGAAGTGTTTTATAATTTTGATTATCATTATTCCTTATAAAAATCGGGGTGCATATTTTTTAAATACAATAATAATTTCTTTGTCAAGTTAATGATATATATGTTATTGAAAAATTAGCAAGTTAATTTTAAAATTAAAATTTTTTTTTTTTTTTGCAGGTTTGCTCGTGATCCAAATCAACCTGCTGACGTTGGATGCACATCCTGTGAGTATATCTCTTCACATATTGATTGCCAGCAAACAACAAAGCAATCAACAACAACTAAGCATTCAACCCCTACTCCGTCACCGACATCTCTGACCCAAACTCCAACGACAAATCCAAAGCGAACTGCAACTTTCATGAAACCCTTTCCTGTTGTACAAACTTCTTTGGTACCAAATCCAAACAGTTCTGTTCCGCAAAAAATAAATACAGATAAGGTACAGTATTCCATTTAGAATATTAATTTCATGTTTTTTTTTTAAATTAATAATAATGTATTTTATGTATATTGCGCCTCTTCCAATAAAAATTGTTCTGAGGGGCATCACAAATAAATCATAAAAATTATGCCAAAACTACAATCAATACACTTTTTACAAACAGTTAAACAGTTAAAGTTTGTAGAAAAAAAACATGTTTACCTTTTTCCAATAAAATTTGTCAATAAAAAATACATCAGAACACATAAAAACATTTTATCACAACATTAAAAGTTAAAAAACAATATTCAGTATACATGCAAATGCAAATGAGCAGACCCGTGTTGTTGATTAAAGGTAAAAATGAAATGAAAATAAAAGTAAATGAAAATGTTTTAAAGATGTTTTAAGGATGTTTGATTCTCTTATCTTTTATTATATTATTTTGTAGTCCATAGTTTATTTTAAAATAGCTGGCCATACACTCTCAGATTTTAGACAAGCATTGTTTTAACTTGTTTTGACATCTGATCTTCTCGAGTCACTACGGAACTAGTGTGTATGATCTTTGCTTATATAGTGTGGTAGAAGGATTCGCAGGTAAGATACCTGGCATGGGCCGTTCATGTGGCCGGACAGGAGGCTTAACTGGACCAGTACACTGGGGCAG